GCAGCCCTGTGAGACCCTGACTCTGGGTGTCAACTTGGGAGCTGCTGGTGCTCTGCCATGTTTCCGACTTTGGATCCATGTGACTCTGTTCACCACAACTTGTGATCTTCCTGCATCCCACTTGATCTTTCTGAATCATCAGCCTGAAGATTCATGAATCTGAAGAGACCCGAGGCTAGCATCAGACTTATAAACTTGAGTTGGATGCTTTTTGATATAAAATTGTATCTCGATATTAAGTTCTTATACATGGATGAGCATCACTGTTTGTTTTTTTTTCTCTCTAGACAACCCAGCCTAAAACAATCAGTATAATGGATTCCAGGTCAATCTATGTTATGAGGTGTTCCATCGCTGTTTCCTAGGAATGCATGGTATTCCATTGTGTGTAGCTACTAAAGTTTCTTTATCCATTTTTCTATTGATGGGTAGTTGGGCTGTTACCAGCTTCTTGCTCTTGTGAACTGTGCTGCAATGAACATGGGAGAGCATGCATCTGTTTTCATTCTGTCTCTTACTTCTTTGGGGTATATGCCCGGCAGGGGTCTTGCTAGGTCATATTGGATTTTTATTCCCAGTTATTTTAGGTAGCACTATATCACTTCCACAACGATGTACATGTTTGCATGTCCACCAGCAGTGTATAAGAGTTCCAGTCTCTGCATCATTTACAGCATTTGATGTTTCCTGTGTTTGCTTGTTTTTTAATTAGGTATAAGGTGATATCTCATCCTGATTTTAATATGCATCTCCCAGATGCCTGGTGAGTGTGGGCATTTTTTCATGTATTTGTTAGTCATTTGAGTGTCATTTTTGGTGAACTGTCTGTTCATGTCTTTGCCCACTTTTAAATTGGGTCATTTGTTATTTTCTTACTGAGATGTAGAATTCTAAAGATTTTGGTAATTAGGCCCTTGTTCCATGTGTCAGTGCTAAAGATTTTTTTCTCCCAGTTGTCTGTTTTGTCTTCCGTTGTATGTGCTTCATTTATTGTACTAGGTAGTCACTTTATGCCCTGTAATAGGTCCCTTAAGTTTTCTTCTCTCATTAATTATCCGTATAGCTCTAGGGGTTATAGTTATGTCTCTAGTCAATCTTGCATTCATTCCTATGCGTGGGGTAAGGTAAGGGTCCTGTTTATTTATTCTGCATAGGGTGATCCAATTTTTCCAAAATCATTTGTTGAAGAGGTGGTCCTTATACTCTGATATTTTTTGATCCTTTGTCAAAATCAATTGCTTGGGGGTAGACACATGTTTTCTATTGTGTGCAATTGGTCTATATATCTATTCTTGTATCGGTTCCAGGCTGTTTTGACTACTGTGGCTCTGTAGTAGGTTTTGAGGTTAGGTAGTGAGAGGCCTTCTACCTGTTTCTTCTTTTTAAGAAGTTCTTTGCTTATTCTAGGACTCTTCCCTCTACACATGAGGCTGGTAATTAGTTTTCCCATTTCTTTAAAGAATGAAGTTAGGATTTGGATTACAATTGCTCTGTAACTATATTTATAGATTGTTTTAGG